AGAGCAGGCAGCTTCTTTTCTGCCACTGAGCCCGAGACTTTTCCAGGAATGTGTCTGACTTGTACCTCTCCCTGCCACTGTCCCTGAAGGGAAGAACATCACAAAACAAACCAGAGCAGTCTTAAGTAATGTATAGTTACAGAAGGGTTGTTTACCCTTCCTTTAATATAAGCAGATGATAGAAATACACATACTCAACTACGCTAGGACAACACAACAACTGAGCCGTGCAGATGCTGCTCCTGCATCCTCCACTGTCAGCTGCTGCCAGTGCCCGTGCTGCTCTCAGCTCTGCTGGGCACACTCAGGGCTGCAGATTCCCTCCTCAGCCAGCCCCCCAAGCTCATGGTGTCCCCAGAGATGGCTTGGATGTCTGATGCCCTCCAGCAGCCAAGTGAGAGAGCCATGCTTGGTCCAGCCTGGCCTTGATGTGTCCAGTGCTTGGCTCCCCGGCTTGGCTGTGGCCGGTGGTCACACACCAAGTGCCAGCCACACAACTCACACTTCTCCAGGGTGCTGCTGGCTACCTGTGRCCTCTTTGTCCCTGCCCCAGCTCCATGGATGCATACAGGGAGTCTCCTCACCAAGGAAAGGTGGGTTTTGGTGAGAAGGCACCATGGGTAGTGTTGATGATCCGCAGATCATGGCCAGACAAGGGTATTAATCAATCTGGTTACGTGTGATCCTTTATCCCCTTTTATCCCCTTATCTCTGCATTTTCTCTGCTCCYCAAACCTCTTCCATTCCCCTCTTCTCCCTGCCCTGGGTTCCTGCAGTTTCATAAAAAGCCTTGTATAATCCCAGAATACTCCCTGTGCCCCATTCTTGTTGGTGGCTCTTCACAGGCTGAAGGGAGATGTGGAGAGCCTTTCCATGGACTCTGGGCAGAGCTCATGGCAGCTTTCATGAGCTTCCTTTTAAAGGGTGCTAATGAAAAAGCACAGGGAGAGCAATGTTTTATATGGACAGGTAGCAAGAGGATTGGAGCAATTTTAAACTAAAATAGGGGAGTTAACATTGATATTAGGAAGGAATTTTCCCTTGTGAGGGTGGGGAGGCCCTGGCACAGGGTGCCCAGAGGAGCTGGGGCTGCCCCTGGATCCCTGGCAGTGTCCAAAGCCAGGCTGGATGGGACTTGGAGCCACCTGGGATAGTGGCATGGCATGGGATGAGAAATCTTTAATGTCCCTTCAACCCAAACCATTCCATGATTCTGTGATTCATGGCTGCTCATTGTTTCAGTTCTGTCTCAGGTTTACACAGTGGGGTGAGATGCCATTCCCCTCCGGTTTGCTTGTGGATAAATTCCTGTGGTCAGGTTTTCCTGGCTGGAGTGCCAGGACAGTGGGAATAGGTGGTTTTGGGGTGAGTTGTGAGTCTGAAGGGTGNAGGTTTTCCTGGCTGGAGTGCCAGGACAGTGGGAATAGGTGGTTTTGGGGTGAGTTGTGAGTCTGAAGGGTGACACACTGGCTGATGATTTTCAGCACAGTCTCCATCTCACATGAGAGGGCAGTGTTCCCTTCCTTCACACCCACACTCCAGAGTGAGCCATTCCCATGGACAAGGTTTGGGTGTCCTGGTTGTTGGGTCCACCCTTCCACAGGCTCTTCATTCCAGCTGCTATTTCCCCATCTCATTTAAAAGGATCATGTAGTAAAAGTCATTTGAGGTGTGGACTTCTCAAGGTTCCCTGTGACTCTGGCAGCCCCAGGGATCCCTYRGAGCCCTGGATCACATTGGAGTTCATTAAAGGTTTTGATTTTTGTGCACTGGTACTCTCCCAGGGCACCTTGTTTAGTGTCACAGGGATTGATTTGTTCACTTCTATTGCAGCTTTTGCTGTTGTACTGCCTGCTGTGGCTGTGAGTGTGCCATCAGGCTTTAAAACCTGTCTGGAGGCTGTTTCTCCTTTATTAAGGAGTCCTATGGCTGCTTGAGGTGGGTGTGAGGACAGATGCAGGCAATTTCTTCTGCCTTCCAGACAGCCAGAATCTGCTTTTCATAAAGAGCRAGTTAGACTGTGCATTCTGCTGTTCAAGAGGGTGGTTTGATGTGGCCAGACCCAATGCCTGGTTCTTCYAGCAGCCTGAGCAGCTTTAGTACAATTAGCATGGAGTGCTCCAATGAGCCATAACTCTGGTCTCAGTTCAAGACAAAAATCAATTATATGTACTGGCAGAACTACTGGAATTTTTATCCTGGCTTGCTGCCACAGCAAGGAGACTTTACTGATGAGGCTATGGTTAAAGTTTCTCCGGTTTTCCCATGTTTTCTGAGCATGTCAGCCTAAGTGGTGCAGSAGTTTTTCTCAGGACTTTATTCATTTTTTCCTCTCTCATCCGTGTGGTGGATGGGGGTCAGTCAGAGCTTCTGGAAATACCTGATTTGAACCCTGTCTCTATAGTTGATGGTAGTAGCTAGGTTCAGCCTTAGCTTTCAGAATGTTCTATCTACACTACACTTTAAATTCCTCTCTTAATAAAATATTAATATAAATTCATATAAGCTGGGGTTTGCAGCAGTTGTTTCTTTCTGTTAAATGATACCCAAGACAGAGAATCCGATCTAGGCTGGCTGCTTACAAGTTGTTTAATATATTTTTTGTGTTCCTTTGACGTCTGAACACACTGGTACAATTTCCTCTGACAAAGATTTTTTATACATGTGCGCTCATGTCAGTATTGAAACCCTGTCCTCTTGCAAGGCTCCTGGGATTCCTCTGGATATTCAGGTTAACACGTTTGGACATGAGGATCTCTACTCAGGCATGCAGAGAGATGGATGAAAAAGGCTGTCGAAAGTTTATTCAAAAATCCTCTGATGTTTCCTTTCCCAGCAGGAATTTTGAGAAGGAAAATTGATTTAGCCTACTCTAAGTTAGTGTAGGTGTACACAGGCTTTTCTAATTAACTCTTCTTCACACTGCTAATTATGGGAGGGAAGGACATGTTTGGTTTCCAGGCTGAGCCTGACATTTTAGGCAGCCAGAGCCACCCTGGTGARTTGCTCTAAGAACATCTCAAAAGAACAAAAACTTCAGTATTCCATAGCAAAAGTTCTCGTTCCCTGGTTAAACAAAACTGTGAAAGTCCAGGTCAATGCTTTTTAAAAATCTGAAAATATAGATAGAGTTTCTTCCTCTAAATGAGGAAACAAAGAAATGAAAGCACTGTACAAAATCTAGGGTCTTACCATCCTTTGTGAGTCTGTGTCCTCCTATTTTCTACTATTTTCCTCAGTTTGAATAAAACCAAAGCCAAACCCATCAGATTCTGTATTAGAAACAATTGGTAGCAAAACTTTACGAACATTTTGAAAAGGATAAATAGAAAAAGAGGGTGTTTCACCTGCCTGGATTTGGCTTTAGGTAGGAAAGACTTTATATTAAATGTAAGTCAAAGAAAGCATTTTAATATATATGTTATGTAACTTTTTATGTTCATGCTGTTATAAAACAATTAATGCAAACTGTTTTTAACTCAGACACTTTTTTAAATGTACAAATGCTTTTTAGGTTGCAAAGACATGAAGYACTGTGGTTTCTGAAAAAAACCTGAAAATTCTTGGAAAACAAAAAAAATTATTGAAAAGTTTTAAAGAATTAATCTCACACTTTATGGCTGTTTATTGCACAGCTCAGTGTTAAGTGGATTGTTTCATGACAGATTTATTTATATATGTTTTTTACTTCTTGGAAGAGATGCCTTGACCTTCCTTTTTCCAATGTATTGTTTACTTCTCCAGTAGTCAAAGTAGAGCAGTAAATGTAATAGAATTTAATCCACTTCTTTTTATAATTGGTTCAAGGAAGAGAAACTTTTACTTTATGATAACTGTAGGACCTTATTCCAAATATTTTAAATTTAACTTTGTTTTCCAGGTTAGTGTTGAATTTAATATTTGTGCTTAATACTGGGCCCCTCCWATATGTAAGTGCACTACCACTGATTGAAATACAAGTAAATATTTACAGAAAACCACACTGTAGAAGATTCACATTATTGCAATTTTAAAAGCCTCTGGGTATTTAATAGCAAATGTTCATTGTTTTATGAGTGCTATRACGAGTAGGAAGAAATTYAAAAGGAAGAAATTTGCAGTCCAAAAATTCCTTCTGTTAAATACTGTGCTAACTCAGTGCTAAAAGATGATATATAAAAGTGAGGGATCTCTTGTCAAAGATGTAGGGCCTCTATTCTGCTGTGTTTTGTGCAGTTTGGTCTCTATCTTGTACATTTATGTAACTCTCAGAGGAATAACCTCCCTGAAACCTAGGTAAAGATGCAGCAATGTATCTSTTGGTTTTGTTGTTTCAAGAACTGTCTGGTGAAGATGTTGCATAGGAAGAAGCTGATTTCTGCTTCACCTGAAGCTGAGAAGTGTTTTTGACATGTTGCTCTGATTGTGACATCTAATTGCACTAAGGGATATTGTCCCTYTTCAGGAAAAAGCTRCCCAAGAGCTAAAAAAAAAAMARRGATACTGTAGTTCCTGATACTGATTAGATTAAATGCATTTATTTCAGTAATCTTAAAATGGCCTAAAGAATAAAACATGTGTTARCATATTAAAATGACAGTTTTGGTGGGAATTCTTCCATAAAGAGATCTGGCAGATGGAGASAATTAGTTCTGATGAAGTGCTACATGCTCCCCCAAGTCCTCCCAAAAGATAGGAAAAAAACAAGACCTTAAAATAAATAAAACAAATTTGATTTGCAGACTTCCTGGGCTTAATGTGAGAATTAGAAGCTCATAAAAAGTGCAATTACCTTGCTCTTAGTCATTGGATACTGTGAAACTGGGTGCTCTATCACCTGTGTCTATAAAAGGGTTTAACACTTGGTTTGGATAATTCATTTGGGTGGTTTCTGACCAAGCTGTACAATTTAGCTTAAACCAAACAAATATGGCTTTGCAGGTTCTTTGGCAYTGGGGCTCGTAAGGTAGGTTGAAAACCAATTTCTCTACTTTGCTGATTTAATATTCCCTAACTTTCAGCTATTCAGACATCCTGATCGAGCGGGAGGTGCTGATGCAGAAGTACATCCACCTCGTGCAGATCGTGGAGACCGAGAAGGTGGCAGCCAACCAGCTCCGGCACCAGCTGGAGGATCAGGACACCGAGATCGAGAGGCTGAAGTCGGAGGTGAGTTCCAGACCCAGCAGGCAGTCACTGGGTTATAACATTTTGTTGTGTGGTATTCGATAACTCTGCAGTGTTTTGTGGAAATGGCACAACCCCTGAGGTTAATACAGCCCCCAAATGAATCCTTGGATAAATAATTTTCTTTTAGATATTGGGGCCTGTTAAGCTGATTGGATTAATTTTCCTGTCAGAGGGTTTAAGATGGCACATTACTTTGCAGAATGGGTGCCACTGATGGCATTGTTTCCTACCTGCCTTCAGGTTTGAGGAGTTTGATCCCASCACGTGGCCTTTTGTAAAGATGATATTCAGAACTGTTCCAGACTGCTCTGATTCACTGGATGTTGTTAAAAACGTGGTTGCAGGCTCAAGCTGATAAAGCCCAAAAGGCACAGTTGGTTTTGGGGGAAAACCTGCTCATTCCTGGTCCCACTTCCAGCTGGGCTGAAATCTGTAATGGCCTGAAAAGAAGTGCTCAAATCCCTGTCACCAAATGTGTGCTTCAGCAGGGGGAAGGGGAAGTTATTTTTCTGTTAGTCCTCTAAATAAGGGTTTCATTAACTGGAGAAAGCATTTAATGAGTGTTTGGTTTTGTCAGATTGTAGCACTGAATAAAACAAAGGAAAAAATGCGACCTTATCATGGCAACCAGGAAGATGAAGATCCAGATATTAAAAAAATTAAGAAGGTAAACGTGGAGTCTTCTGTACTTAAAGGGAGAGGGGTGAGGTGAGGGGTGTGTTTCTGTATTTCAGTCTGCCTAGTTTTGTTATTTGTTTTCTTCAAGTACTGCCTTGGCCCTACTTAAGCCTCTTAAATTATATATATTTTCATGCCACATTTTATCCTGTGATGTATTTCCATAATATACTTTATGGAATGTGGACCCAGTTTCTGTCTTTCTGGGATGTGCAGTCTGAGCCAGGGCCAGCACTCAGCTGGTAATTCAGTAAAAGGTGTGAGTTTTCATTTTCCTGTAGATTAACCATTTTAATAGAAGCTGGAAATGCCCTTTTTAGTAGAAAGAGAGCTTTGAATCTGCATRTAATTCACTGCATTCTTTGTCTTGATCATTTTGACAGTTGGGCCCCTTTTTTTCCCCAAGTTATTCATTCAAAGTAAACTGCTACCAGTGAAATTTWGCCCTTCTCTTTCAAGATGAATGATCTCCACACCAACGTCAGGGCACAGACAGAATGAAAATTTCTGTGACCAGGTGTAGACCTCTTCTGTAATCTTTAGTCCACTTGCAGCTTTAATAGATATTGTGCTTAGCTAGACTTTTCCATTACTAGAAGTGCTTTTTAAGAATGCCAGAAATCTGTCTATTTGGATAACAGGTTTGTTGCCTTGGTGTTTGACACCAAGCAATATATTGATACATAGCTTGAAATGCACAGGCCAAGTGTTACCTGTTCAAATGGAAAACAAAGTGAGTTAAAAAAATTATTGAAGAATTCTGCCAATAACGATGTTGAGATTGTGTGGGAATGTGATACCTGGAAGTATTGCAGGATMCCTTTGGGCTATGAGAGAGATGGGTAAGGAGAGGTAGAAGGAACTGCAAACCCTCATTGTGCTGATGGGAAGGGTACAGCACTTGAGATTTCAGTGAAATATTCCCTTATATATATGCTATGTCTTTACAGTCTGTTTCCTGGCAACAATTATGACCCTTAACAAAAAGAAATGTAAAACAATATTTAATTATGGAACAATTATATATCAATAAGGGAACAGATCTTTATTTTTAAGCAAAGATATTTGTTTTGAGGTTTATTTCTTCAATGAAGAGCTGATGACAAGCCATGCAATGTGGGGTTTTTTTTTTTCTCATTTTCTTTTTCTGCTTGATCTATTTTTAGGTTCAGAGCTTCATGCGGGGTTGGTTATGCAGAAGAAAATGGAAAACCATTGTCCAAGATTATATTTGTTCTCCTCATGCAGAAAGCATGAGGAAGAGGAACCAGATAGTTTTCAACATGGTGGAGGCTGAGTCTGAGTATGTGCACCAGCTTTATGTCCTTGTGAACTGTTTCCTGCGGCCCCTGAGGATGGCAGCGAGCTCCAAGAAGCCGCCTATCAGTCACGACGACGTCAGTAGCATTTTCCTCAACAGGTGTGGGGTGTTTATTATTACTTTTTTTTGTTTGGTATTCTCTGTTTTTTGTTGGGGGTTTTTGTGGTTTGTTTCTCGTGGGGTTGTTTTTGTTTTGTTTTGTTTTGGGGGGGTTGATTTGTTTTTTTAATTGGTTTTTTTTGTTGTTTTGTTTTGGTTTTGTTTGTTTTTTGGGGGAGGTTTTTTTATTTTTTTTTTGTTTGTTTTGGTTTGGTTTTTTTGCTGACTTTTTTTAATTTGTGGGTTTTTTTGTGAGTTTTCCTGACTGCTTCTCCCCATAGAGGTTCAGCTGCCAGCTCCAGTGCAGGTGGTGTCACYGAGCCAGCCCTCATTTCCAGGGCTGAAAGGCAGAGGTGCCGTGGGTGGCACTGAAACCAGTGCAGCCTCTTTACCTTCCTACCTTCTGTGTCTCCTGCTGCTAGTCTGCTACACAAAGAAAAGGACAAATTGTGCCTCTTGGCACAGTTCTCATAATTTTTTGTCACCTYTCCTGTTTCTTTTTTCTCTTAAGAGAACAGAGCTGGACTTAGTGGCCTCATATGATCCCAGTAAGACCCTGAGGATGAGCACGTCAAAGCTTCTATTTTCTGTTGTCCTGCCTRAGGATTCTCCTTCCCTCTCACTTGTCTTTTCATATCCTGCAAAAAAAGAATTGTTCTTTCATTAGGCATCCAAGTACTGTTATAATGAATATGCTCGAGTAGCCCAGGAGGCATTTAACATTAGGTGCAGAGTTGAAATTGCATCCAAGTCTGCCTCGAACTTCTAAGAAAAAGATTATGTTCCTTTAGTCATGAGACAGGTTTTCTCTTCCTTGTTAGAATATGAATGTAASTTTAGAATATTTCTACACCAAATACTACGAGTTTTTTATAAGCACTGAGCTGGAATATTTAAACAATGCAATAAAAGGAAGCAGTTATTTCCATAACATTAGCTGTCCTTTGTTGTTTTTTTTTCCTAGCAAAGTGCAAAGGAGGAAAAGATGTTTCTCTGTGAATTTTTAAGCAGAAAATAAAACCAGAATTGTCTTTTTGTTTGTTTAAATACTTGTTTTTCAGTGAAACAATCATGTTTCTTCATGAGATATTTCACCAGGGTTTAAAAGCAAGAATAGCTAACTGGCCTACCTTAATTCTAGGTAAGTTACTTTATTTTCTAGTTTCATAATCATTTTTAAAAATGCAGTAAGGATTTTTTTTTAAGATATGGCTTCTGAGAAGTCTTTTTTGAAGGGAATGCATTAGCAGAATTCAAATCAAAAGATCAGGTGTAGTGGGAGTCCCACGTGGGCMGTAATGGTCTGTGTATGAGAATTCCTCTGCCCTAAGCATTGATTAGATTCATATTTTTAGTAATGGTGTCTGACTATTACCTGATCAGAACAACCATCATTGAGCAGGTGAAAGAACCATGTTTAATGTTTATAAATTGTCATTATATTGGAAAGAGAACKGATTACAGTAATTCACTTCTATAGAAAAGACTACTTCTTTAAAAATGTATTTCAGTAGATGGGGAAAGCTGAAGTAAAAAAGGCATTTATCTGCTTTTTCTAGCTGACTTATTTGACATTCTGCTGCCAATGCTGAACATATATCAAGAATTTGTTCGGAATCAYCAATATAGCCTACAAGTCCTGGCGAACTGTAAGCAAAACAGGGATTTTGACAAACTCTTGAAGCAATATGAAGCCAACCCAGCATGTGAAGGCCGAATGTTGGAAACTTTCCTTACCTACCCCATGTTTCAGGTAGTCCCTGTGTATTTTTTGTGTGTATTTGCTTTTACTGTTTGGTTGATTTATGTTATTGACATTGTAATCRATTGAAAGCTCTTCTTGCTTAACTAGAAAAACTCTCCTGCAAGTCAGCTCAGTTTAATTTATTTTGTTGTTACAYCAGAACTCTACCTGTTGAGATCTGTTCCCCAGCTGTGCTGGCTCATATTTGTTCAGAGTCTTACCAGTGTTGGAGTTTGGGATGAGGATAGTGCCAGGGAAAAGTGCCAAGAAGCAKTTCCTTTGCTTAGGACTTCTGATTATAAAGTCCAGAGAGAGATGATATACCCGATGTAGCAGCTCAGAGCAGCCATAAGCATTTATTAGGAATTCATTTTTTATCTTTCCCCCTTCTTTGTTCTTGAGTGGCTTGGTCTTTAGACATAAGCCAATTGCAAAACTTTTTAAAACTGTACTTGCTCTTCTAGTATTTTACTGTGCTCTGCCTGGATTAGACGCTTGCAGCTGTTTTAAGACATCTGTGAAGCACTGGCCTGATGTTTTGCTCATCAGAAGAACAGTGAATAACCTCAAGTTGTTTGGTTCTTGGCAAACCACATATAGACAAAAATTTTAAAAAGGGGCATCAGTGTCACTTACATTAGTGCTARTTATTAATATTAGCCTAAGGAGCCYTTAGCACCTGTAACAAAACTKTTTCAATGYTTGAGGTGTTATGTTTTAAAGTTTTTCTGGTTTTGGGGGTTTTTGTGGGTTGAGTTGAAACCAGGTCATGGGAGGGCGAGAGAGATGGTCCTGTTCCTATGGGATGAGAAATGTTATGTCATTGCTGATGACTTTCCACTTCACCATAATGTTGCCTCTCCTTCTCCTACATAATTCTTGTTGTGTCAGACAAGTTATGCTGCACCATCACTTGGTTCTGGTTAAAAGCTCTGAAGGGTCCTTGTTACTGTGGTTACAGGCTCTGAAGGGTCCTTGTTACCCTGTAGCCTTTAATAGTCGAATACGGGACATTCTTCAATGTCCTTTTGTGCAATGTGAATTTCATCTGAATGCGGACAGGTCACTTGGTGTTTTCAATGTCAAAAGAAATTTACATGCTCATATTCTATTAAAATTGAGGGAAGGTATATATGGATTTACTGATTGTACCTTACTGGTTTCCAGATTCCCAGATACATTATAACACTTCATGAACTTTTGGCTCACACACCACATGAACACGTTGAGAGAAAAAGCCTTGAATTTGCTAAATCTAAGCTAGAAGAACTTTCAAGGTAAGATTTTTCTACCTTATGCCTGATAATTTTGAATCAAAGATTTTGAAATTAAGAACCTGTTTTTCTTTATTTTTATTTGGTTTTGCTCCTTTTAAAAAGGTACATGTTTTAAAGAAAACGATCAAACTCAAAACATAAGATAATGAAAAAATAAAAAAAATATCCCAGTGTAATATTTTGTCTCTTCTATTTTTTCTTTTTTTGGCAAACCTAAATCTACGAATGTCTTCTTTTATTTTGGTTAGGGGAAAATTGAAATCACTATAGAAACCACCTACTTATGAGCWGAGCAGTTTTCTTTACATAGAAAAATACTTATTTTCATAATTTAAAGAGAGAAGGGCATTTTAAATAATCAGGGTCTTGGAAAGTACTTAGTTCTCTATCTGTGTTATAGTTTTTGCATGCTACTATGCAAACTGACTTTCATATAGGCTTCAGATAATGCCAGATAAGCAGGAACTAAAGATACATTCTGAGAACTGRTGCTCCCTGTGGAAACCTGCAAAATTAAGCTCTTCCCTGAACCCCCAGACCTTTCTCAGATGTTCCTCTCATCAGCCCAGTGAGAAAAGTGGTTCTCCTCTCTGGGAACACAGTTTTCTGCTGTGAACAAAGAGACCACGAGTGAACTCCAGGATATAAATATTCAGGGTCTGGAGTATTCACTAAAGATGTGCTTGGAGAATATTTAGTTGTAAAAGATCTGCACAAGCASATAAATCAGTTGTGGGTTGGCTTCATCTCATAAGTTCACTGTTTATTGCTGRTCCAACTAATTAATCACTGAACAATCAGAATTGGAGTCTGACTGATCCTCTCTGCTCATAAAGTCAGCATAGATCATAAATCTAAAATTCTKTGATTCATTTCTATCCCTTTAATATAGTTTCAAGTGGAGGAGGAGATTCCAGACA